GAGGTCAAGTAAAAAAAATCATTGTGTGGGGAACTTGGTGGTCTTGGGTCTGGTAATGATTTATTTGATAATTTCTCTACCATTCTCTCTTATCTTTTACTGGAAGGAAGTCCCTCTTAGTCATGTGTTAAGCTTCCTGGATTGATCTTGTCATTTTCTTATACTTTCTCTCCTCTTTTCCTACCTTCTGGGAGATTTCCTGGATGTTATAACGCTTTCACTCATTTTTATTTTGGCAAATTGCATTTTTAATTTCTCAATCTCTCTGTTGGTTATAGCATCCCGTTCTTGCTTCACAGATGTAGGGTCTTCCCTCCTCTCCCTGCAGAAGTAAATGTGGAGCAAAGCTTTCTTCTTACCTCCCCGTCTCCTCCACGCCCCTTTACATTGGAGGCTCTCAGATGTGGGCTCACACTGACGTTCCCCAAGCGACTTGAGCTCCAGGTGCAGAGCAAGGTCACCGGCAGCTGGGCTCCACTCAGGACGGCCACCAGAGGGTGTCCTGTGGCTGTTTTCTTGACCCCCAACTACTTTCCTCTCAACAAGACTCCTCAACCTATTGGGGTGTGTGGAGGGTTCCCAGGGGCCCAAGAGCCCAGCTGTGAAATCCTCCCCCTTCAGCCTGTCCCTGCCCTTCCCTGCGTCCTCTTCTCTGGACACTCCCCAGGCTCTGAATGGTGGTGTCTGACCCACTGTGCCACGTCACTGCTCCCGCCCGTGTTCAGCTTCGTGTGGTGGGTGGGAGGTTGCTGACTCGGCGTGGTTTCTGAAGTTTGTGTTTCTGTTCTTTTCCTTGTAGTTCTGTGGACTTTTCGGAGACAAGGGCAGAAGGTCCTTTTTCCGCCATCTTGTTTTGCCTTTATAAACAATACAAATTTTAAAAATACATAAAAGCAATCCATGTCTGTGATTTAAAGAAAAATATAGGCGTGTCTGTAAGGGTAAAAGCCTCCCTGGAGAGGAAGAATGGCTGGCCTCTGCCAGTTGGCTCCCAGATTTTACAAATGTTTGGTGCATATGGAAGTATGTGTGTAAGTTTCTCTTCTATTAAACACGGATGGATCATACTGTATGCATTGTTTTGTGTCCGACTTTTTTTCTGCTTTTAAGCACCACTATCTTGAAAGTTCCCTCTTGAGGATTAGCTGTATAGCACCAAAGTCTTCATTCTTGAGAGATTTGAGGGCTCCTTGCAGACAAGCCCCGATTGTAAAGGCGGTGGGTGCAGACAAAGCATCTGGTGCTCTGCGGCAAACGCAGGCTGCCCTCGGGGCATGCTTCCCTGGACACTGCCCGAACCCTTCCTCCAGCGACAGCCTCTCGTTCCACTCGTAAGTAGCTCTGTATAACCGCCTAGAGACAGTGCTCCAAAAATTGTCATGGAAGGAATTCTGTTCCACAGGGAAATCTAGAGACTTGTGGTTTGGGAAACCATGTTCTGAAGCCAGGATGTGTCAGGCAGTCATTCACCTGAATCCTGCACGATGGGGAAGGCGAGCGGAGGTCCCAGGGCAGCTGTGGACGAAGACTGCTTTTCGGGGCAAGGACAGTTGCACATGTAGGTTATTTGGCCACTTCAGAGTTTTGGTGGAGTGGAGTAAAAATAAGCACATGTGTTGGGTTTTTTTTTTTTTTATCCTCCTAGGCTTTTCATTATAAATCAATATTGTTTTCCTTAGGGTCAGCCACTAAGTAAAAAAGCAATAGTGATTATTTTCAGAATTTGTTTAGTGTAAAGCAGTTTGGCTTTAGGACTTTGTCTGGTTTTGGTCTGGACATGGATTTAGTGTTTATTTGTGCAATATTTGGAATTCACCATCAGCACAAAATGTTTTATGATAAGACACTGTGAAAGCTGGGTGCAGATAGCCATGTGAAATTTAACCTGGACTTCTAATTGAAGAAAATATTCAAAAGCTCAACTTTCATCATATAGTCTTGTTTCATAATGATCACCTGTCTACACTGCTATGGCTCCACCGTTCATTTTTTTACAAGCAGAAATTCCTTGCTCAGAGATAAAAATTTCCCAGTGGGGACTATTGGGGAGGTCAAATCAGGTTGATTGAGGCCATGCCCAGCTCAGAGTTGAGTAGAGACTAAGATATGCTTCTGGTCTGAGTGCTCCAATCTGAATTTTGTGATACAAACCACATGCAGAAATAAATGGTATTTTATTATAAAAATAAAATTTAAAAAATAAATAAAAAGTAAGAAATAAATGTAGACACAGCCCCCTGGGAGGCTCCTCAGTGCTGTTCTCTCGCCTGGCATTCCTCCTCCTCCCTGGGCTGTGGGGCTGGACACTTATCAGAGGGAACATTTGTGGTTAATGCAGCCGGGAAACACAGGAAAGGGACTCGAGAAAGGGGGTGACTTTGCTACATCTTGGCCTACGGCTTACCTTTCTTCTTTTTCTTTTTGGTGGAAAGGTTTTTCGTTTACTAAACAAGAAGTTAATTTAAATCTTTGATAGCCTTTTCCCAGAAACCAAAATATGAGAGTGAAAAAGGGAACGGCTTTCTCACACTCTATAGCCTAACGCTCAAATAGAAGTTTCTTGTGAGTTTGGATCCTCACGTTTGCTGTGATCATGGACCATGGATAGCCCCCTAGGCTTCCTCAGGAAAATGCTGTTTCACAGCCGGGCACAGTGGTTTTAAACAGTGGAGCCCGAGGTTGACCTGGGTGCTCGCTGGTTAACACTACTGACTGATTTCAGGCCGTGAGCCGCAGGGGTCATCAGGCCTGGGCTGGGGCGCTCACCAGGCCGAGGGGCACTGCCACTCCCATCGCGTGCCTGGTGCGCTGCCGCTGACGGGACAGGACTGGTTTCCTGTTCTACCAGTGCCGCAGCCGTTCTGTACGCACACTTTATTTACCAGATTTCATTGTCTTCCACTGACCACAGCCCTTAGAGTTAATGTAGGAGATGGTTAATGATATGTATATAGAAAGTAACGTAAAGCATCCCTATTTCATTTTGGTTTCTGAACATGAAATGGGATACAATTTTCCTTATTGATGTTTTAATCAAATCAACCAGATTAAGTATTTTAGAGGAGAAATGACTGTCAGACAAACTAGTTACTTTGATAATGTTGTATTACTGGCCTAAAGTTTCATTATTTTTCCAAAAGCATAGACATAAATCCAGAATTCGGCTGCCTTTCCTTTGTTCCCAGTGTTATATTCCTGTGATGGTGTTCCTTGAGTTTGGTAGGAATAAATGAATGTGTTAGTCACTGTGTGAACTCCTCAGATAAACCAGGGCTGTGAGCCCCCCAGGCCATCCTGGGCGCTGTGTGTCCCAGCCTGCCTTCTGGTCAGGCTGCCACTGCTGCACCCTGACTATAGAAGCAATGCCTGGAGCACTCGAGTCACAGGCTTCCCTTCTTATAGGAAAAGTGATGGTGATATTGTTGTAATTAGCTGGTTATTAATAATAGAAAAGGACCAAAGGGAAGGCCAGACATTAGAGACATGTCATGTGGGCAGCTTTACCGGGAAGCTGCAATTTCACACTCCCCAGGGAACCACCGGCCATTCCCCACAGATCACTGGGGAAGGGGTCCAATAAAGGGAGATGGGCCCATGTGCAGTAAAGTTGGGGTGACCAAGGGAAGGTACTAGTCAATCAAACCTGAAAACAAAGATCATTGGCCAGAATGAGCAGGGCCACTGTAAACCCACAAAAATTTGGGAATACATAATCCCCTAAACAAAGGAATTCTCTCTCTTGTTGCTCTGGGTTCATGGGCTCTCTTGTTCCTGCTTCCTTGTATTCACCCGTGTTTTCTCATAGCCATGTGGCCCTGCGGACCCCACATGCAGGACTGATGGACCGCAGCTGGGAGTATGCATTAAGCTGGCCTGATGCAGTATTAGACTGTGAAGACATGGAATGAAACTCTGGACACTGGCTTTTATTTCAGCTCTATTAAAAGCAAAATGGGCCCAGCCAGCATGTCTCCGTGGTTGAGTGTCGACCTTTGAACCAGGAGGTCACAGTTGGATTCCTGATCAGGACACATGCCCAGGTTGTGGGCTCAATCCCCAGTAGGAGGCAGCAGATCAATGAATCTCTCATCATTGATGTTTCTATCTCTCTCTCTCTCTCTCCCTTCCTCTCTGAAATCAATAAAAATATATGTTTTTTAAAAAAAGCAAAATGGGACTTCTTCTGTGGTGGGACTGAGGAAAATGGGACCTTGGAAACTCAAGGATTTAATTACATGCAAACAAAAATCATCAGTTCTCCCTTCAAAGTCTCAGAAAATTCTTTTTTTGCAAGAATTCCTCTCCCCACTGGTAACAATGGCACCAAATATTCTTTGAAGAGTCTTCCACCCATTTGTTATTGGAACCAACTATTAAAGCTGTATCTGATTTGAGCTTCTAAAGATCGGGTGACTGCCTCCAGCGTTTCTGTCCTCATGTTTAGGAAGGGCTGAGCATGCTTTGATACAGCAGTTATCTGCTGGGTGTCTCTATTAAAGGTTTGTGTTTTTTTGTACAGTCTTCCCTAGTAGATCTCTACTTATGGCTGAGCCTGAGGGAATGACCAATACATTAAGAACAGATATTCAGAGGTTCTGTTACAACTTCAGTATCTAAAGAAGAGGCAGGATTATTCTGGTGACTGTGGCAGCTACGGAGAGTGCCCTTTGCGAAGCAACCCCAGGCTCGCAGGTGTGAGGAGTAAACCTGGGCAGATCAGGTGGCCACTCAGCTGTTGTTTCATCTGTAAAATGCAGACGCTGATGACCACCTCAGAGGACTGAGCCAGACAAGGCTGTGGAGCCTCAGCGTGGGCTTGTGGCCCCGTCTGGTCACTCCCATCAGATCGGTCGGGTCCACTGTGCTGACTGCTGGTGCTGGTGCTGGTGCTGGCCCTGGCCCACCCCTGGGCTGTGGAGTCCCTGGAGGGACTACTGGCAGGGCTGGAATCGGAAACAATAGGCTTCATTGATGGAACTACTTTTCAGTGAGGGTGCGTTTTGTTTTTCCTAAAACTTGTATATCGCTAGAAAGAGTTAACTGTCAACACTAAAAAAGGAGGCAGCTGGTTAAGAATGTGATGAGCACTCAGTACTGACTGCATTCCAGCCTTGACTTCTCATCAGGTCTGTGCTGTGTCCCGCTGTCCCAGGGCGGTGTGCTCAGGGCAGAGGCCAGCAAACCACAGCATGTGAGCTAAAGGTGGTTTCTGTGTTTTTTAAAGGGTTGTGACTATTCCCTCCCCCTCTCCATACAGAGGAGTATGCGACAGAGACTGTAAGAGGCCCACAAGCCTGAAGTATTTACTCCCTGGCCCTTTAGAGAAAGTTGCTGTAAAGGTCCCATTAAATCTCTCAATCAGCATAAATTAAACTAAATTTGGTTTCTTCCACCGACTTCTTTCCTTTCCCCATTTCTCATTAGTGCTACTTCCACCTCCCTAATACACACCTTTGTCATTTGACATCTTCCTCTTGCTCTCTCTGTAGCCATTTGGAAACCCAACATTCCTATGGAGGGTCTCAGGTCAATTCTGTCTTCTCACTGTACCTGTCCCAGGCGGCTTCAGGTGCTTCCCGCCTGGGGCAGACAGCTTCCAAGATCCCCCCCAAAACCAGGCTGCCTCCTGGTGACCACGTCCTCACACGGTCTCCACAGAGCAGGCTGAACTGTGGGTCAGCGGGACACGGCACACTGCTCCACGATGGTGTGTGACTTCCCAGGCCAGGCCATGAACACAGTGCAGCCTGCACCTTGCTCCGGCTGGCATCGCTGCCCTGGGGCAGCCGGCTAGCACTCTGCGAGAACTCGGGAAGAGCCTGCCCAGAGGGGCAGGGAGGGGGCCATCCTGGAGGCC